TATCTATCTTTTATTTTATTTTAATTTTTTATTAGGTCACTTATCATTTTTATTAAAAATAAAATAAAAAATAAAATTAAATAATAAAAATATGTTGATCCAATTGGTACCGTAATTGATTCTTGAACTTAAAAGTCTTGAGTTTAAGTCTTAAATTTGATAAAAATATTAATTATTTATAATTTTAGTAATTACTTTAATCTCTTTTGATAAATTATTATATATTTTTATTATTATAAAAAATAATATACTAATTAGATCAACATACTTTTTATTATTTAATTTTAAATTTTAATTTATTTTTAATAAAAATGATATGAATCATAGTGATTCAATAAAAAAAAATAAAAAATAGAGATAATATGAGTTATAGCGACTTAATAAAAAGATAAAACAAAACTAAAAATAGAATTTTTAGCACTTATAACGACCCCCTCAAAACATAAAAAAGTTAAAAATAAAAAATGGATTCATTATGAAGTGTAATCACCCCTTAAAAAATAAAATTAAAAATCGAGTCACATGAACTATAACGATAAAAAAAGATAATCATTTTTATGTGATTGTTAATTGGTTATAATAACTCTTTTTTCATGAGTAAAAAAATTTTACACGTGTCACTTGAGTTATGATTTATAGCAACATTGTATAAAATAACCTTAAAACCATAAATAATTACAAAACAATTATTCTTTTAAAAATAACTTCAAAAACCAAACTACAAAAATCAAAAAGCCTTGCAAAACATACTTACTTTAACTCTCCTGCATATATGATGCTTACTTTTCAATAACACGTACATTAAGATTAAGAAATAAGTACATATTCCACATGCTTTAATTGTTAGAAAAAATTAGGAAGGAGCGAGACCAAAAAAAGCTAAGGAAATTGTCTTGCTCTTCTTATATTTATATATTCGGTACTTTAATTATAGTAAACCAATTCTTAATTATTAAGAGACTCTTAATATGATTGAAAAATAATAATTAATAAAATAGAAACGAGTAATTAAATATTGTATGTGAAAGACGATAGTAGTTTCTAAAAAAATAAAATTTAATTTTTTTCTTAATAACTTAAAGATGTACCAGGTCATCAAATATATACTAGACGGATGCTGTTTTACTGAACTAAATATCCCTTTATAAAATAGGAAGATAATCTCTAAAATAATTGGTTGTTCCAAAAATAATAATGACTTGTAGTACATCTTAACTCGCGATAACATGCAAGTCTTTTTAGTTTTTATTTATTATTTGTATCTTTCTGGTTAAAATCTAATCTGACCCCTTTACATAGGTGTACTCGGTCAGAATCTGACTTGTATGCTCTACAGGGATAACTCGGCCAAAATCCGATCTGACCCTTCTACACAGACACTGATTCAATATCAGGAATAAAATCTCATCTTTAATGACAAAATATTTTTCAAATATTAACGGTTATCAAAATTTCTATGCTTACGGGGTTCATGAGACTAATAAACAAGAAAGTATAAGACTTAAAACCCTAGAGCTAAACAGACATATTACAAATTATATACTTGAATGTTCTGGCTTGGAAAGATTGACCTAGGAGAAGACTCCTAGACGCCGCGTTGGCCAGAACATTATCATTTCTTAAGAATATTATCATTTCTTAAGATATAAGTATATATTCCACATGATTAACGGCATATAAATTAGATTCACTAATTCATACTTACACAGAGATTCAAATCAGCACAGTAAATAGGTAAAAATAGGGATAATACAATATGGCAGTGATCGATAATGGTACAGAAAAAAAGTACAACACTAGACAGACCTCATAACCGTACGCATGGTAACCTTTGCTTTTCTTTTGCCTCTCTGACTCTCTTTTCTTCCTTTTCCATCTTCATCTAACAATGTTACTGCTTGGTGTCTGGTTTAAAATGTGCAACTTTTTCCATTGAAAAACATGACGTGCGTGCCATGTTGAAGTTGAATAGCAATCACCAGTAACTTTTTCCCACTGCTTCCCTTTTATTCTAGGGGTGAGGGATCCATAACTTATTACGACAAATATATTTGCACTTATTATTATTCACGACTCTAAGTTAAGTTTCTAACGGTAATTGCCATTCTTCCATTCAAATCTCCTAGGATGCAATAGAATTTTTCTAGTATAGTATTAAATTAAGATAAAGAACTAACAAATTTTTAATTAAAAAAAAAAAAGAGAACAAAGAAAAGAGAAGTGGGAATAGTTTTTCTTTGAATCTCAATATTTATAAGAGAAAAATGCTAACCGTTCTCATTATAATTAATTATAATAATTATAATTAATTAATTTTAAAATATTTGATTATTAAAATTAATTAAAATTACAACTATATCCAATTAAAATTGGTATTAATCAGATTTTAATATAAATAATTAATAAAATAATTATTTTAATTTAAAATTTAAAATAGTTATATAAATTAATAACTAATCTTTTAAAATATTTCAAAATATACTACACCACTTAACTGTCAAAAGAAAAAGGCTAGAAACTAAGAAGAGGAAGGAGAAAAAGAATAAGATGACACGGTAAACGATCAATGGTGCAGGTTTAGCCACTTATGCTTAAAACATTGTTCTTGCATTTTATTTAAAAAAGTTTGGTTCTTAAACGAAACATGCATAAATTTTTGAGCCTCCTTGATTCATTCGTACCATAGTAACCTTGCAAATTTAACCCACACTGCTCTTTACGTCTTTTCCTTCAACTCTCGCTAACTTTTTTATAACAGAGATACAGTAATATACTAATTAATACATAAAACTATTCATCACCGTGTGCTTTAAAGTTCCATCATTATCCTACTCATTTAACTAATAAAAAGTTGATCATCAATATAAAACAGGTGAGGCTGTACGCCTTTCAATTAAGAAACTGTCTCTTGAATAATCTTATTTTTTAATAGGATATAGAATTATTATAAACCTTAAAATTTTTCTCAAATTTAGATTAATTGAAGATCAATCAAGATCCATCTAACAGTGAGAGATTTGAAGTTTTAAAATTTAAATTTATTTATTATTATTATTGTAATTCTAATAAATAAATAAAATTAATTAAAGACAAGCTTAAAATTAGAAAACTGGATAATTTAAAATAATTGATGAAAAATTAATCTTGGACCATTATATCTATGAGAGATATTCTACAAAACAAAAACATTAAAAAAAAATGCCGTTTCATGTCTTAAAAATGCTGTTTTAACCCCATCACACCGACGTTTTTGGAATTAGGGTAACCATTTTTCTGGTGCCTACGTTCCAAGAGTAGCTGACGACACAGACACGGAGATAGCTTTTGTCTGAATTGGTCTCTGCTGGTCGTGTAGCTTTATTCGTTGGTGAAAGGCAGCATTGGTCCTTACAAAAGTTTTCATGTGCTTTTTCTTTTTCAAAAGATAATTTCGTTTATTCTCAGTGGGAAGTGGGATTATGATAAAGTTAGTAATTATTAGTGTTCAAGATACGCGTTTTGGTTAGCTTTGAAGCACAAGGATAACTCCTATGTGGCAAAGAGAAATAGAGATAGGTGAGAACATAATAATACATAGCATTTATTTTGACCAGTCTTTTTCCTATTCCTTTTGATTTTCAAGTGCATAAAATAATATGCCAATATGGCCTAAAATGATTCATTATCGATGTTTGTATCTTGCATCATTCTGCTGAACAAGTTCTAGAATACTCACCAACTTCAGTTGGTCGATTTGCATGATTTTGAGTGGGATTTTGGCATCTTCTGAGATTGTTTCCATCTTTCAACCTCAAAAACAACAAATATGTACGTCTTAGCTTATGAATCTAATTTGATAATTACAACATCATATCGTAAAGTCTTGGCTGTTGACTGATGTCGAATGTATATTATCTTTACTCTCTCTCTCTCCCATTCACACACATTTTTGACTTGGAGCTTGTGTGAGTGAATACTGTTAATTGAAAATTTGAAACACGAGAAAGAAACTTCCGAACAAGAATCTGTTGAAAGTACAATGATTCGAGCTTCCTCGGAATCCTGATTTTGCCACAATTTTGAGGACAAGTAAATAGCTATATGAACATTAAATGACTGTCGAGGCACTCAACTTTTAGAGAATAATATATACCTCAAAATAAAGATGTGTGTGTGCAAAAACCTAATAGCAACTGTAAGCAAAAACTAGCTGAATTACCCGCAAGATTTACACAGAAGAGAAGAAGAAAATATATTAGAGGAAGAAGGAAAGAGCGACTTACCATGAATCTATCTGACCTAAGGTTTTAGATTTGAACCCTTTTGTCGTAATTTCTACACGATATATATATATATATATATATATATACCGGTA